GTCATGAATATTCATGAGATTATGACATAAGATTTGCAGACAGTTCTAGAAAGTGGTCATGTAACATTTTGTATGTTTTTCTTCTCAGGATGGAGTTCCAGTTGATGAATTTGGACTTCCGCAGATTCCAGCACAGTAGTGATAAACGTCCAATTTTTTAGTGAATATTTTCACAACTTTTTGTAGCTTCAGACTAACCCACATGTTATAAGCTATGAATACATTGACCGTGAGGAAGTTTTCATTGACGCACTGAAAGAGAAGAATATCACCTAGCACTTAGAATGCACATAAATTTGCATAATTATTTGTTAACCAATCACAGGATGCTGTCAATGGAATTTGCATAAAATTTACATAATCTTTGCATTATTGTTAACCAATCCCACATCACTGAGAATATATTTTCAGGGTAACCAACCAATCAGTGTAACTAACGAATAATTGAATTGTTAAATATGACATCCATCGAGAAACACAACTCTTTGTTTTAATATATGTTCTCCATAAAATACATTTAAAGTCAAGCTTGTTGGTATGACCATCCAAACTTTGAATCTTGATAATGTTCATCGTTGCTTTTAATAATAATTTGCAGGGTTTGGGTTGTTGGAATCCTTATTGAAATGTTGTATCTTGAGTTTCACATTTTTAAGGTCTTGAAAATATGGAAAACAGTTTTTTCTTGCAGTCGTCTTGAAATATTCTAAAAATGTGAGGAATTTCAAAATTGCACGGAGACTTCAATACACCAGTTTCTGTGCAAAAATAGTTCTTGAATTTCCAAAAATATGGTCTTGAAAAGTCTTGAAAATGCCTTAAATTTCATATTCCAAAACTTGTAGGACCCTGCGTAAAAAATGTGGCATTATTGCAGTTGTAGTTAAGATTTCTCATTGTATTGTATTTCAATTTGTTCCAAAAATTGAGGTTAAAAAAGTTGTCCTTCCAAAATTTATTTTTCTTTTCAGAAGTCAGTTTTTAGACAACTAATAGACTGAATTCATCATTGACAACCATTTTCAGATTACTGTTCAACAATGAACGCGAGCAAATCCATCAACATGCTAGCAAAATTTGCACCTGCTAAGTAGCATAGCAACCGATGAATTCAGGATCGTAATTTGAAAAATCTATTTACCCTAGTTACTTTTTATGAAACTTGTAAATATTAATTTTTGTAAGAAAAGTAAAAAAAAAATAGATATGTTGGTTTTAATATATTTAAACAGATTTCTTTGAATATTATGAAACATACAGTGAAAAACATTTGGATTCTAGGCCAGATTAAGAAGTCTTGATGACCTCCCAGCATTTGCACCAGAAAACGTTTTGTGAATATATTTATAAACATCTGCATTCAGTGTGTACAGTTTGAAATATTTGATGAGTGAACATTGACGCCCTACCCCAGCCATAACATTCTGTGGATCCGACCGATGAATAAAGCTGTGTTTGAGAGTGCTAGTCAGTATAAAAGTAATGATTATACTAATTTTAATGACTGGATATGGCTTCTGCAGTCTGAGGTTGTGCGGTCGTCGTAAGCTGCACTGCAGAATCAAGGGCAGCAAAATATGTATCTAGTCCATAAAAGTTTTATCATATACTGTGGAATACTTTATTTTCGCTGGAATTAATTTTTGGGCATTTTGAATGTAATTTACTTTCACTGATTTTTGATGAGTTCAATGTGTAATATAAAAAAAAAAGTATATTCGCTGGATTTTTTTTTCACGGAATCATCTCTTCAGCGAAAATAGCGAAAATAAATTCCAAGCGAAAGTAAAGTATTCTACAGCACTTTATAAGTGTAATTACAATTTTTACCATGCCGTGACTTCAAACTCACAACATTGATTGATGAAAACCAGGCACACTGGACTAGGTGTGATACGAGAAATTATTGTCCTGATGTGAGGGCGCACTTCCCATAGCGTTACAAAGTCGTTGTTCTTTACCAATGTTTGAAAAAAGTGAAACTTGCACTTATTTAATAAATATGATTTTGTAGGATCTTTCATGAGCTTTCTATGAAGAGGGGGGGGTGCATAATGCATTTCATTTGTTTGAAATTATATTGATTCTAAAAACAACATGAGACGGGGGGGGGGGGGTCACTCTATATGCCGTTACTACCCCATGTGCGTTTCAAATTTAGCGGGGAAAGGGGGTGTTTTTCACCTTCTAAAACGGGGCCGCGCAGGAGGCAAATAGGCCCCCTTTAAAATTCTAATGTCTGCAATTCTCGGGGCGGACATTCGGGCATTTTCACTGCCTGGCAACCTGCGGCGGTGAAAACAAAGGCCCAAAACTCACAGAAAACGGTACTTTGGGATAACTGTTGAGAGTCCCCTGAACAGTGTAACAAGATTAGCCCTACGTGTGTAACATATATAAATTTGGTTGTTTGGGATTACTTCAAAGTTGAGTTTATGTTGTTTTTTCGAATTTTCACCGGCTCGACCGG